TCTAAGGGTGTTCTAAAGACCTGACCCAGTTTGTGAATTAATCTGCTGGAGGCATGCAATTCCAGCCCAGAGGCAGCTATCTTAGTAGGTTGCTTTCCTTTAATCCTTGGGACACAGAACAGAAGGATCTAATCCGGCTCTCTTCAGCTGGTGCTGCCCAGGGGTGTTGCATCGCGGCTCCCGTCGTCTGAAGGCACAAGCGCAGCAGGGTGCTGTTGCGCTCACATCCTGCCTGCGTGTTTTGCACAGCCACCTGGTTGGCTGCTGTTAAAGCAAGAAGTTCAACAAAACAGACCTTTGGTTGGATCCAGCATGGCTCTTGTTATGCTAGGTGTCCAGCCAACCAGGCATGCTAGGTGGGAGAGATGGGAGTTGTAGTCCAACATACCTAGAAGGCTCTCGTAGCAGGAGGCTAATTGGAATCACAGCTGCTGTTAACTCTATTAACATGAAGTACATGACAAGGCAATTGTGAGGGCTGTTCCCACACTGGTTTTCCTTTTAAACTTCCAAGATTGAGTCTTGGTTTTCTCGGACAATAGGTAGAATACATAGTTGTACACTACCAATTATAAAATTGATGCGAAAGTCAGCCTTATCACAAGAATAGTATACCTTTCTCCATTTTTTCCCTCTCTGCTTTTTAAAATTCCATCTAAAATGTTGCTGTGGGCAATTGCTTGGAGGTGTTAAGAAAAGCAGAGCAGTGGTAATGTCCTGAAATGACCCCTTGAGGGTAACCTTGGAGAATCTTTGCTCTACAGCTTCTAGTGTTTGTCTCAGTGTTGCCTTGGTGAACTTGGCCAGAATCCTCTGGGCTGCCCACAGGCAGTACAAAATGGAAGGAGAGATCCCTGCTTATCAGAAATTAGAAGTATATTGCTTCTTAACATGGAGAATTAATTTGTAATTATATTCTAAGCAACATTATTTAACTAATAGTCCATTCCTTTTCATGTTGTACCCTCTTTAAATCTTATCTAGTGATCATTGCCCCATCGCATAAAAAGTCCTATATAGGTTTGATACAAAAAATAGGTTGCACTGTGGTCAAGAATGACTGAATGAAATGTTGCATCACTTTGTAGAACCCATATTGATTCTTGCTCAGCGTGTCCTGTTCTGTCACGAGAACAATTACAAGTCTAAAAAATTATTCCTAACTCTGTATGATGTGCTGTATATGTTTCCTTGATCCAAAGCGCTGTATAGAACATGGACACCAGAATATTTCGGCTTCAGCTGGGGTGAATATTTCAGAGGTTGGGGTGAACCTCTGAAATGGTATTTCATCAGCTCTGGAATTGCCTCCGCAAATAGAAAGAAATGCTTTGTGCGCTCACAAGATCTATTTGCATCTGTGAGTCTAGGTCACATTAGCTTTGGTTTTGAAGAGCAAGTAGCTCAGATTCTTCAAGAATACTTCCATTTTCTTTAAAACAAACAAACCTCAAACAGTATTAAAACATCTTGATTGCACGTGTGTGTTAAGCTAAAAGTTTAGAGTCTCAGCCAATAACCTACTCACCCTTATTTTATGTACTTTAATAATTGCCCTTAGGCAGGACTGTGAATTTCAGGCTCCTCAGATCAAAACAGATGGTAGTGTTACAAGCATGTCATTACTAGTGGTGTCAGGTTGTAGTTCTGTATGATTTCCATTCAGAGACCTCTCTGTCAAAGTTAGCCATTAAGGAGTGCTCTAGGCTGAAACTTGATAGGCAAGTTTTTCAGCACAGGTGCCTTGTTAGCCATTTTTTCCACCTGGCCAAAAAATCAGAGGTTTGGTCTGAAGGGGTGGGAAAATTTTGTGATAATCTTTGTGGATAATGTGGATAATGTTTGTATTACAAATAGTCACTTCCTGTCATACATTCTTGTGGGAAATCTTTGTCTGACTTGAGAGCTGTGAAAACACAGACACACAACATATGTCCACAGTGGCTACAGTCATTTGCTTTGCCAGGTAGCTGGGAATATGTACGCCATATCCAGCTCCTTCTAAAAGTAATGGCCAAGAACCTACAATCAGAGCAAAGTTGGACACAGCAAGGGAGAAGGAATGGAAAAACAAGGCAGGCTTATGGAAAGAAGGTATCAAAGAGTTTCTACTCTGACCAGAGTCAGAGGCCAAGCCTTATTCTGAAAACTTTTATAGTGGATCAGCTGTTACAACATGAGTTGCTCTGGCCTGCTGATTATCAGTAATCTTCTCTTGTAGTCTGGTTTACCAAATCCTAGACCTTATTGAAGTACTGAAAGCAGTCAGATGACTGGGTCCAGGTGGCATCCATCCAAGAGTTTTTTTAAAACTCAAATGCAAAATTGTTGATCTTCTAATAAAAATATATACAACAGGTCCCTAAGATCAGCTTCTGAGCCACAGGACTGGGCACTAGCCAGTGTAACACCACTTTTTAAAAAGGGTCCAACAGGGAGCCAGGACATTAAAGACTGATTACTTTAACTGTTTTGGCAGATCAGTGGAAAGCATTATTAAGGATAGCATTGTCAAGCTTTTACATGAACAGGTTCTGCTGAAAAAGAATCATCATGATGTCTACCAAGATAAGTCTTGTCTGATTATTGTTTTAGAGCTTTTTCGGAGTGTCACTATATGTGTGAATAGGGGTTATCTCATAGGTACTGTTTTCTTGAACTTCCCAAATGCTTTTGTCAAAGTCCCTTTCAAGGAGCTTTTGACAAAGGCCCTTTCAAAGCAGATAATAGGAATAAATGCTTTGCCCTTGCAGTGGCAGATGTAAAGAGCATGATCCCATGGGGTTCTGTTTTGGGAAGGGCACTTTTCATCTTTTTCATAAATGATTTATGGTAGTTAAAACAAAAAGGGAATGTGAAGTGTTCCAAAAAGAGATCTATCAACAAAATACACATTAAAGTGGCCAGTGTGATTCAGCTTAAGCAGTTGTACATTGATACACAGTGAGGCAAAAAATTTGTGCTTCACATACACTAGGGGCTGAGCAGGTGGTAACTGACTGAGAAAAAGACCTCATCATTGTGATGGAAAGGAATCTGGTGGGTAGCTCAATGGAAATGTTAACCCAACATGCTACTGATATTGAAAAAAGGAAATTCCATCATGAAGATCTTTAGCAAAGGAATTGAAAATAAAATGATCAATGTTATAATGCCTTTACTTAAATTCATGGTGCAGCCCCACTTGGAAACTACTTGCAGTTCTTGTATTCATAGATGATACTCTGCAGATGGAAAAGCTGGGAAAAGGGCTAAGGAAATGTTCATGGGATTGAAAAAACTTCCTTTGAGGAAACTTATCAAATTTGTGCAGGAGGAGGCTCCTGCAAGTCCCTTGGACCGCAAGGCGATCAAACCAGTCAGTCCTAGAGGAGATCAACCCTGACTGCTCTTTAGAAGGTCAGATACTGAAGATGAAACTCAAATACTTTGGCCACCTACAGAGAAGGAAGTACTCCCTGAAGAAGAGCCTAATGCTGGGAACAATAGATGACAAAAGAAGAAGGGGACGGCAGAGGATGAGGTGGCTGGATGGAGTCACTGAAGCAGTTGGTGTGAGCTTGGGTGGACTCCGGGAGATGGTGGAGGACAGGACAGGGCCTGGAGGAATGTTGTCCATGGGGTTGCAATGGGTCAGACACGACTTTGCGACTAACAACAACAAGCTTAATAAAAGGCAAGCAAGGTGGCATAACAGAGGTGTAGAAAATGTGGTACGATGTGAGGATAGTGGAAAGAGAGGGTTTTCCTTCCTTCATAGAAGGAACCAAGGGTTAAGCTGACTGATGGAAGATTCAGAACAGATAAAAGTATTACTTAACACAGTATTCTTTTAAGACAGTGCATAGTTAAACTGTGGAATTTATTACCACGAGATGTAGGTACAGGTATACTCTAATTTGCTAGGATGAGTGGTACCAGAAAGCTTCTTCCAGTTGCTGTATACAACCTCCAGTTGATTCAATTGGAAGTTTTCAGGGTGACATGTAAACTTGGATTAATAAATTGTTTAAGGCCTAACAATCCAGAAGTTAATCCATTACTTGTGTTCACTGCTTAGTTAACTCAGCTGGTTTACTGATCCGGAAACAGAATGCCAGACCCAGCAGGCCGTTGATCTGCTCCAGTGTGGCTATTCTGCCAGTATTTCTTTGCTTGCATTTCTGTCCTGGGGTGAAATGATCTTTCTGTCTTTGGCAAGACAGTGTGCAAAAGAACATGAAACGGAGTATCAAACAGACTAGTTTTTTGTTGAAATCTCCAGGAAACCTTCAGCAAGAAATAGTATGGTATTTTCATCAATCCACGACTTTGAAAAATCATAATCAATTGGTTTTACTTGTCTTTTTAATCGGCAGAACATTCCACCTCATCTATGAATGGCCTTGACAAATTACCCTGTAGAAAAAGGAAGCAGGGACTGAATCATTTCACCTGCTGCTATTGGAGCTAGCTAACCTCTGGTGGCATGCTTAATTAACCTTGTATATTTAGCTGTTCTTTGACAGTCATTATAAGGGTGTTAATATGCCACCATTGTTGCACACTGTAGTCAAGAATTAAAAGGTCCACACGCCTCAGTAGCCTTGCAGTTATAATTAGGGTTGTACATGGGAGTGTATTTCCATGCCACTCTTTAGCCATGATAACTGTGCACAGAAGATGGTTTCTGCAGCAAATGGTGCAGTTTCAGCAGCAGAAATGGATGAGAATCTCTAGAACTGCTTCCTCGTTTCTTGCTGTGCCTCTTTGGTGGAATCAAGCTTGCACCGTTGCACGAACAGCCATACCGTTAGGCAAAGTGAGTTGGCAGATTTTGAGATACCTTTAACAGGCAGAAACTTGCCAGTTAGGTGATTATGCTGCTGCTGATCGTTTGTTTATTGGTGCAGAGGGGAAACCACACTGCTTTTTTGATTAGGCATCATAATTGCCTAGCGTAGCCGTATTTTGTTGGATTCTTCTTTAAAACTGATACTGTTTTACTTCTCTTTGGTCAGAGGCAAGCTGGAGCAGAAGCGTTTGCAGACCAGGGAGGCCTCTGCAAGGGCGTCCTTTGAGGTCACAAGATAGCATCCAACTCCAACGGCTGGATGGATTTCATTCTGTTCGTTCTTGTCAAGCTGCTTGCTGTCAGAGCCCTGCCTGTGATGCCTTTTGGCTCACAGGAAAGATGTGCATCCAGGTGAACTGTATGCAGTCTCACTGGTGTAAGACAGTCTTGACTCACACCACTCACAGCAAACACTCCTCCATCTTGGTGTTTGTTGCAAAGCCTGAACATCCAGTAGATTTCCTGCCTGCATCGGATGACAGAATTCCCCTTCCTAGGTGGTTGGATGGGAACAAGGAACATCAAAGTAAAGCAAGACTACGAAGATCCTTCCAAGAGCCTCCAGCACAGAGGGCACATGTAGTGCATGCCAGGGGAAGCCCACTAAGGAGGGACACAGGCTCCAGTAATGGAAGTGCATCAAGCCACCCAGTTCCATTAGAGCCATTGAATATTAAATCTCCTCCTAAGGATCCTGCAGAACCTCAGTCTTCCAAACAAGAAGCAAATGTTCCCAGAGATGGTGCTAATCCAGAAGAAGTCCCACTGCTCAACAGTGAAGATTCAAGAGCACCGAACCCCCAAAGCCCCCCATCTCTTCCTCTCCGCAATAATGTGAACAAACCAAGTGACCTTGCTGGGAGTAGCTCCCTGGGGGTAAGTACATTCCTGGAAAGCGAGCATTGTTCGTGCCAGTATTGATGAATGTTATACTGTGAAAAGTGCTTTGTAATCTTTTCTGTTTCCTTAGATTTATATCGTGCTCTGGGCAGCATAGTTGGTTTCCCAGCCCAGCCCAGCCCAGCCCAGCCCAGCCCAGCCCAGTTTTATCCTCACAACAGCCAGTGAGGTAGACTACGCCAAAAGATATTGGCAACTGGTGCCAAGTCACCCTGCATTCTTCTTCATGGTCTCTGTGCATCACACATATCTAGTTATTCATTCATCCATTCATTCATTCATTCATTCATGCATGCATGCATGCATGCATTTATATGTGTCCTCCTACTCCTAATAGAGTCTCTGGGTGGCTTACAATATTTAAAAATAATATACACATTAAAACAATAAAATAATTCAATTCAATAAAACATTAAATAGTTAATATGGCACCAACAATGAATAACACACTAAAACTACTGGAGGGGACAACCAAAATGGAGAATTAATATAAACATTAAACTAGCTGTTAACATTTTTATTGCTTAAAATGTCTAGAAAAGAGAAATGCTTTCTCTTGGCGCCAGAAAGTAATGTTGACACCTGGTGACTTTCTCTGGGAAGCTTATTTCACAAGTGAGAGGCAGCCACCGAGAAGGTCCTTCTCCTATTTGTCACTGCTCTAACCTCCTTGAGGGATGGCTCCTTTAGAAGGACATCCTGCCCAAATCGTAGTGGTCGAGCAGGTATATATGAGAAAAGGTGGTCCTTTAGGATTACTGTCCCCCCCCCCTGCACACACACCTCGCCCCGTCCCACCCATCTGGGCTCTGTGCCTGCATGGAGCCTGTTGCAGAGAAGAATTAACAGCTAAGAGCATTTTGGCAGGAACCTGTCCCCCATCCCAGCATCCATACAAAATGGAAGAGGTCCTGCCATTTCTTTCAGTTCTTTTTCAACCACCTTTGGTAGTGCTTTCCTATTATTGTTCCTCAGAGTATTTTTCCTACCTTTTCTGTTTTTTCCTTGATATTTCTGAGCATCTTTTTCTCACTTTTCTTTTTTTTAATTCCTCCTGAATTTCAATTTCCCATACATTTGTTGTTAGTCGAACTTGGCAGAGACAACCAGGTCACTTCCTAGGTGCTATAGAGGGAGGGATTTTCATGCAGAAGGTCCAGGAGGTGACGAGAGGAGGAAATATCCTTGACTTGTCTTGACCAGCAAAGAGGAGCTGATAGATGGGGTACAGATTACGGGAGCTCTGGATGTGAATGATCACTCCATCCTTTGCTTTGAGATCAGGGGAATGGGGATGAGTGGCAGGTCAGGTATTAGAAGCTGGGACTTTACAAGGGCCAGCTTTGGCCAGTTGAAGACCAAACTGGGAAAAGTCTCTGGGGACAGGGTACTGGAAGGCAAGGGAGTTGAAGAGGGGTGGGTAGCACTAAAAGGGGAGGTCTTGGAGGCACAAGCCTTGACGATACCTCTAGTTAGCAAGGTGGGGAGGTGACGGAAAGTGCCTCCATGGATGCGAAAGGAGGTGGTTAGAGGGATTAGACATATGGGGATCAGATGAAGCTGGGGATTTAGGGGCACAGACTAGAGTCACCCCCCTCGAAATTGAGGAGCTCCTCAGGGCACTGGACATTACCAAGGCGCCAGGCCCTGATGTACTCCTGAGGGTACTTAAGGAGTTGGCAGGGGAACTCTCACATCTGCTGGCCTCCATTTTGAGGCCTCGTGGAGAACAGGTGAGGTTCCAGAGCACTGGAGGGTGGTGTCAGTGGCCGCAATCTTTAAAAAGGGTATGGAAGTGGGCTGGGGATAACAAGATTACATTCAATGCAGATAAGTGCAAGGTCTTGCACTTGGTGCATAGGAATGGGCATCACAAGTACAGGTTATGGTACAAGTGGCTGGAGAGCAGCCCTTGTGAAAGGGATCTTGGGTGCTGGTCGACTGCAGGCTAAACATGAACCAGCAGTGTGACGCTGTGGCCAAGAGGGTGAACGCCACCCTTGGATGCATAGCCAGAAGTGTGGCTTCTAAATTGAGAGAGATATTAACTGCCACTCTGTATGACTCTGATGCACCCGCTGGAGTATTGTGTTCGATTCTGGGCCCCTCATTACAAGAGGGATATAGCAAGGTTGGAATCAGTGCAACAAAGGGCCACTAGGGTGGTGGCTGGTTTGCAAGGGAAGCTGTATGAAGAGAGACTGAGGGAGCTGCGTCTTTTCAGCCTTGAGAGGAGACTGTTAGCGACATACAGGTACATGAGGTGGTGCCACACAGATGTGGGACATGACCTTTTTTCCTCTGCAGTGGAGGGAAGGACGTGTTCCAATGGAGCAATGCTCAGGGAACCAAGATTCAGGATGGGTGCCAGGAAGTACTTCTTGACGGTTAGGTCCCCTAGGGTATGGAATGGGCTTCCCTGAGAGGTGGTTGAAGCCCCATTGGTGAGGGTGTTTAGTGATAGTCTGGACATGCCCATGCTGGGCATGTCATGAGTGGAGCCACGGGTCAGACTAGATGGCCCAGGAGACCCCTTATGACTCACTGTGTTTCTATGTTTCTATGCATTTTCTCTCCTCATAATTTTTACCTCCCTTATATCCTCTCCTCCCAAAGAAATCCTCTTTGTCTTGTCCTTTCCCTCTCTCTCTCTCTGACTCGTTCTGTCCTTTTTTTTTTCTCTGCTTGCCTTTCTTCCTTTTTTCCCATTGACATTGAAGGCTCCTTTCTGTAAATGTGTCCAAAAGATAGTGATGACTGGACCCAAGCCACCCAGGGGGTTTTGTAGCTGCATGGGGCTCAAACCTGGTTCCCATAAGCCCAACACACTATTACATATCCACCTTATTTCTATGACATCTGTGACAGAAGCAGATTATTCGAAATCCTGCATCACATAGGGAAGCCAAGCAAGAGAGAGAAAAATACCTGGCAGTGAACTAAAATGTTTTGCCCCCTGCCTTAACTGACAATACATTGGCTCTTCAGGAGCACAATGTTTCTGATACTGGGGTTTGCGTGATCTGTTTCCTTCTGACTCCCATGCATGGGGAATGAGGCTTTTATATGGGATCTCGCTGAGCCCCTCCCTCCAGCTTTCTCACACAGAGGCAGATTCATAGTGGAGCCCAAGGCCTTAATTTCCAAAAATATATCCCATGAAGAGGGTTCTGGGCTGGGCACAACTGGACAAAGGTGTGGGGATGCTGGTTGGCCCCATGAAGCTTTTGGCACTGCAGTGGCACCACAGAAACCTTGGCCACTTGGCTGACATGCAGCTCCCAGCCTTCCTTCTAACTTTAGAGCTAGAGAAGTGGCCCCAATCACTATACATTTGCTGGGATAATTCCTACTCGCCTCTGCAGGATCAAAGCTGGGAGCAGAGCTGGTTGCCAGCCACCAGAGCTCCATGCCACACTGGCCACAGCAAGTGCAGTGAGTTACACCTTCCCATTGGTTTGGCTTGGTGCTTCAAATCTGTGAGATGTTCAGCTGGTGTGCCAAGTGTACCTTTTTTACTCGGGCACCAAAATCTCATCCCCATATACACTGCGGAGAGCTTGGTCGTAGAACCATTTTCACTTAAAATACCTGCTTAGAATTTTTTTTGCTCAGTTTTGACTGTTACAAATTGTAGATTGTAACTCTGGAAAGGAAATCCCCACCCCACCCCGTATCTTTGTACAGATTTCATAATGTATCTATGCAGAGATATCTGTAGATAATTTGCAATCACACTGCAGCTGCAAGATGAAATCTGCCAGCCTTGTGGAACAGAATGTGGCCCAGAGCCAAAGGGCACTGTGAGGAAACACGTAGCTAACTTAGTTTGTGTGTGAAACATCTGCATGGCTTAACTTTGCCTTTGCTGACTCAGCTGTCCCTCAGCCCTTGACTTCTTAACAGTCACTTAGGAATGGCTGTTCAGTTTCTCTGTCCCAGTTTCCCTGTCTTTGCTGAAACCATAACCATCTGGTCTCTCACAAGATGCTGTCACTCTGGAAATGCTTCAGTGTGGCAGAGGCTGCACTGCACTCTTTCTGCTTAAATTGATTTCTTCCTGCCATCAGTGATAAACAGTAACATGTCCCTAGTGTTCCTGCTGGTTCCAACTTTGGAGTGTTACGTCCTTACCTATCAGGTGCTCTCCTACTTGCAGCCAAGCAAAGATTTGAAGTTACTTGATTGTGCTGTTGACCGCCATTCCAGGTCACTCTTCCAAGTTGCCCTTTGCAACTGCACTAATGGTGAACTTTGCATAATTTTGTCTTCAGAATTAGGGAATGCCTCAGTTTGCAGTAACTGAAGGTCACCAGAGGCAAAAAAAAAAAAAAAACCATTAAAAAGATGCTTTGTATTTGTTCTCTGCATGCACAATCCAGTTACGATAATATTTATTTTAAGTATGCTTCAAATTGGCATTTTGCTTCTCGTAGTAAATTAAAAGTAGAACTGTTAGCACAGTGTTGAGGTATATCCTGACCCCTAGAAACCTTCCTTTTCAAGGCTCCCACCAGCCTTGCACATGAGCCTTGTAATGCTATTTAGATCTATTTGGGTTGGGATGAGGAATTTTCAGGCATGGTAGGGAAGGAAAGCATTACCTTTCCCACCCCCATCTCCTGGCCTTCCTCTGCTGTGTTATAAAGTACTAGAGGGTCTTCATTCCAACCTGAGCATTTTATTATATAGTGTAGGGGGAGGAGAAAAATTCAGTTCTAGAAGATGGGAAAGGGAAGAGGTTACATGGTATTTTTTTTCCTTACAGTAGTCTGCATCAGTACTGTCTTGGCTGCCCACATCCAAAGCTGGATAGTGAGTTTAAGAGCATGGTTTGCTTTTCTGGTTGTTGTTCCTCTTCTACCAGAGGTTAGATTTCATCATAGTTAGACTACATTAGTTGCATTTTTGCCCATGCTGAGTGTACTCAGAAAATGTTACGGTTTTCCACTGACCATGTACAATATTTTCCATAG